GGAGGAGGGCAGGTGTTTACCCTGGCAGCTCTTTTTGTTTGTGACAGAAACATGAGTTCACGACCCATGCAAATTCAAACCCAAATTAATCTGGATGGAGATAGAAACTATTATCAATAGTACAAAGAAGACCTGCGGGGAGAGAAAATTCAGAACTGGACTACAGCAGGGACTTGAGCCTGCAAAGAGCCACAGAAACAAGACACTCAGCTCTCGGGCATTGCTGGGTGTCTGAAAGTGGTGAGGGAGCTGCAGATTCATGCATAAGAGAATGGGCAGGAGGCATCTGAGAGTCCAGAGAAACAGAATGGAAAGCAAGAGGGATTCAGCACCACACTTAAAACCATCTTTTATCAACTCTGAAATGCAGCTTCATCATCAAAGAGGAAAATATCCACCAGTTTGAAGTTTCAGCTTTGAATAACTTTTGCTAAGGTTTTGAGCGTGGTGATCAAAAGCTTACAGTGCGTCTTCCCTCTGTGGGATGTGACAGACTTGATGCAAGATAAGAAGTACTACTGTTAGTGCAATGAGCACCAGTGCTGCGCAGCCAGCGAGCAGAACACCTTTGTTATAGAAGGATAGTCGCAAACAACATTGTTCAGCTACAGATTCAAGCAGAAGCAGCTTCCTCTCCCTCCCCAGCAACGTGCTTCCTAATACAGGATGGAGAACCAGCACAATGGACCCTTCTCAGAGACGAATCATTTGACAAAGCTTCAAAGAATTTATGAATATCCATAAGAGACCAGAAGTATGAAATTACTGTGTGAAACTGAAGACCTCCTGACATTTCCATGTGGAAGTATCACATTGCAAGCTAGCTATAGATCAGGATTTTTATGCAGTATGCTCTTAGATATGCCTGTTTAGTAGGACATAAAGGCTCGGATAGCTTAGCGGGGGGCAGAAAGGTTAAAGCATACCAAATAAGGGAAAATATTTTCTAATTTAGTACCCATATTGTGATTGTGCATTAAAGACATTCACCCCCTTTCAAAAATCACATGCTGTAAGTCATACATAAAATCAGCCATTTAGCATTCATAAGGTGGTTTGTAGGACTCTACACTTCCACTGCACCAAGAAACAATCATTCATAACAGCAGAATCTGTAATAACGGAGTCAGAAAACAATACAGAGAGCAGTTCTGGTTTGTCTTTCTCTCCATTCTTTTTTTTCACAGCGACAGGAGCTTGCCCTGAGCACATGGAGCAGGCAATGAACCTGCAACTAAAAGCAAAGCAGAACACAGTCTGAAATACAGTGTATTACACATGTGGCTGTTCTTGGAAGTCAACCATCCCTGCAAGTTATTCTCAGGAGGCATGATGTACTTATAAGCACTTAGGAAATGTGTTACACTGTGACTGGAACCAAGATGAAATAGCAGTATTAAAAGAGATGGTTTAGTTTATGTAGTGGCCAACTATGCCATTAAACTAGAACAATGAAGATGATAGGGAGGCAGGAATGTTCTCCTGTGTGATTTATTCCTTTCCAGTAGCAGTGGAAATTTTTTCCTATAGGCCTGAAAATGACCATCTGCCAAAGAGAAGTCTGAATTAAGATGTAGCAGAGTTCTGCTGGATGAGTCACCTCGGGATGCACCGTCTCAGGGAGCAGAGATCGCAAAGCACTTCGGCAGAGCAGGTCAGCTCAGCCTCCCAGCCTGGCAAAGACAGTGCCTTCACGTTACTGCTGCCAGGCATTTCAGCAAGGGGAAAACTAAGGCTTGGCAGTCTGCTCAGAGATACACAAAGAGCCAGGAGCAAAACAAAGGTCTCCTCCATCCCTTGGCTTGCTGTGTCAATCCCAACCCAAATCCCACCCCCTGCACTCCCCTCTTTGCAGCCTAGCAACCCAGCAGCAGGACCACGTGAAGCCACGTGGACTGCACTCCTCGCAGCTCCATCCCCGCAAGAAGCCTGCGCTCCCTTCCTCTGCAGGGAGTAGCAGGGCACACTCTGGCCTCCTGTCGTCCCCTCCAGTGCTTTGGTTCCAATCTCAGGAAGTCCATATCAGAGGGCGGCCCCAGAGCAACGCCACATGTGAGCAGGGACTTGCACTGCACAACAGCATAGATGCAGGTGCTGAAAACCCCCCAACAGGTTCTGAAAAGTGGAGCCAGGTCCCCGCAGCAGGCAGTGGCACAAATGGGTCACACTAGAGCAAGGCTGAAAGCAGCACCAGACAGAAACATGCGGATTCCCGGCCTGCCAATGTGCAGCGAAGGCCTGAGATTTGAATGTACAGAGTGCACTCCAGCACTAAATGTCAATGGAACAGACACCAAACTTCCCCACACTTCCCTTGCACTGGGAAGAAAAAGACCAGCTGAGTGCATGCAAGTGTTTAGCAACCTGCCTCTGCAGCCACTGACTGTTGTTTCACAATAGGAAATACGAGCAACCGCCCCAGCTCTATACTCCCCCGTGAGCACCCACAAAGTGGGCCAGGTTCAGGAGAGAAGGAGGACCAAAGCTTCACCCAAAGGCCCTGTCAAGCTCCTAGCGGGGCAAGGGCCACCGTAGGATGTATGCAGCAGCAGGCACCATCTCCAGGAGTGAGAAGTGGCCCGCACAAACCTCTCCACAAGACATACCAGCAGCAGCTTGCTAATCCTGAGACAATTACAGCTTGCAAGCAATGAGGAAGCCTGCTCTTGACCCAGGCATTGACTTCTCCCCTTTTGAGGGGCTCTGAAGTGATTTCCCGCCGGTGCTGCCTCACTGCGGGGAGAAGCTCCACTCCAGAGGCTCTGTGGAGCCCAGATATTGCAGCAGAGCCCTTCACAAGCACAGAGGGATGAGCAATTCAAATGTTTCCACTCCAAACTAAAGCTGCTGCTTTCCTGGCACTGAGGTTCCCACAGGGATCAGGCATTGCCCACTCAGCAATATTCCCTGGGGTGCTGCCAGTTTGAAGGGACACCTTTAGGGAACACACACTTTGCCTCAAAGTTGCTCCCTCTTGCCTACTGTGAGTAAAGCCCTAATCCCTGGCTGCATTCGAACACGACTCGGAGGAACGAAATCGGGGTCTCTGTGTCAGTGGGTCTGCCAAGTCTGCATGACAGCGCAGACCGTACGGCCGGCTCTAACTGCTCCCACTGCCTTGTTTGCAAGGAGAGGCCAGGCAACAATAGGGGAAAAAACACTGTAAATACAGGGCATTCTATGAAACATCACACACCAGCTGGATGGAGGATTTGAGGAGAAATGGAATAAATTATGTGCAACTTTTCTTTTCAAACGTATGTGATGAGTCGGTGGGATTCAACCAGAAGAGAGCTCCTCTAAATCTCCTAGCCCTAACAGCGTGCTTGAGTAGACCCATCGTGCTATGTGAAACAAACTGCTGATCTTCCTCACACAAAACACAGCAGCAGGAGACAGGCTATCACACGCAGCACTGCCTGAAGCGTGCTGGCTGTGTCAACAGATTACCTTGCTTCGGACTGTCTGGGCTGTTATTAATAGGTAACTGATTCAGCAACAACAATGCTTTGGAATTAAACGTGTGTGTGGTGTTTTTTTTTTTTTAATAAAATTATACTAACCTATTCAGTTTAATTGGCATGTTAAAAACATAAAGGGAAAGCAGATGTGATCATCACAGATGTGCAAACTGCATGTTAATAACAGAAAGCATCCCCACTCCCATGGAGGATAAAGCAAAGTTGTATTTTGCAAATGAAATCTTGAGTGTGGCTGCTAATAAACCTCCCCTCAGCGTGCGTGCACACGCAGCGACACAAAGCTGCAGACAAACCAATTTCACCAGGGCAAAGCCTTTTAAAGACCCAGCTGGCTGTCACTGCTGCAGCCCCAGCACCCCTCGAGTCCTGTCAGCCCCACTCATCACCCCGTGCTGGGAAATTAAGTGGGTGTCCCGCACAGTCACTTAGTGGGGAACTAGGGCACGCTGCTCTCGTGTGTGCTGAGCCAAGCGCCAGTTCCTGCAGTACAAAATCCAGGGGCTCATTCTCCTTAAACTGTGGCTGTCACGGGTCCGTGCCTCGCACGAGGACCACGTCACCCTAGCCATGCTTCGCTATTCTCACAGAACACACTGTTTTTTGCTGTCTTTTCCTTTTAAAGGCACTAGTTTACAGAATCTTCACTGGTGGATTGCCTCTGCCAAAAAATCATATGCAGAAAGGCACTAGCTCGTGATATCCTGCCATAAAGAGCAGGATATCTTTTCTTTTCGCAGATAATTTTACACAACTGCTTTCTCTTAACCTACTCTTCTCCTTGGTGTTATTATTCATGCCACCAATCTCCTGTTCAATGTATTCAGAAGACTTTAAAAACACCCTAATCCCTTCTAAACACTCACCCTGTGGTGCCTCAAAACACCCTGTTCACGGAAAGCAGCCTAAGGCGTCATTGTTTTAAGTGTTTCTGCCACCTGCTAAAAAAAAATATAAAAAAGTCACCTCCCTAGTTACAGAATTTATCCTAAAACCTTTCACTGCTCCTTCCACACACCTGCCACCCCACAGCCCCAAATTAAGCCAGGATTTTTACTGACATGTACTAATTACCTGAAAATAAGAATGATCTATTCCGTTTCCACCAGCTGCCAGTTGTCAGCAGTGGCTGGAAGTGATCAGCCTTGCTTAAAAGAACAACAATAATAATCAAAAAAGAAACCTAAGCAGAAAAATAAAAGGAAAGTAGTAGTCGTCCCCCCCAAAAACACAAAACCTTCAAGATTTTCACTGGATCTCAGGTGCTGCCGAGTGTGCTTAGAAAGGACTGAAGGCAGACAGATTTGAATGGACTGCTCAGTTTTGTTATTGCAAAAAAAATAAGTTAAAAAAAAAAAAAAAGAAGAGATTTAAAGGTCTACCCACGCGGAAAAAAAAATAAATAAAAGGCCAACCCTGAATTAAGGAACAAAAATAAAATAAAGTCAGAAACGCAGCCCCAACACACCGACTGTCTGCACTTAAAAAGAGAGATCTACAGGAGTAATTTAAATGATTCACCTGCTGCCAGTTTTCCTCCAAGGATGGCAAAGCTGAGAAGTAGCCGGTGTCGTGGACAAGCTGGAGTTCCTGGAATATACTATAACTAGCCAAGACATCCATGCTGCTGCTGAGCAAAAAAAAAAAAAAAAAAAAAAAAAAAAAAAAAAACAAAAAAAAAAAAACCTTTTTTTTTTTTTTTGTTTTAGAGGCTTCCTTGTAAGCAGTAATAGATTGAACTCCCCCTGGTTGAGGGAGAACTCAAAGTTTTTTTTCTCAAGGAAGTCAAGG